CTAGGTAAAATTGAGTTGTCGACTGGGTCAGAAATAAAATAATTAATTGTAAATATTTACAATATTTAATATCAAATTATTAATATCACATCATTAATAATTTAAAAAATAGATTAAGTAGAAAAAATAATTAATTAAAAATAATAATTAGATTTAGATAAAATTATTAATACATATTACATAAAATAAACATAAAAGTATTACATGCATTAAAAAAAAAATTACCAAAAGAAAAATAAAAATAAAAAATATGAAAGAGTGTTGAATAAAAAATCATTTATTAAGTAATAAAGGCCTTGTTTGGCGATCAGCGGATAGCGGATAGCGGATTGTATTAGCGGATAGCGGATAGCGGATTATATTAGCTGATTTGACTAGCGGATTGCATTAGCGGTTTTTAAATAAGTGTTTGGTAAATAGCTGAAAGCTTATAGCTGTTTGACATTGCAAATTACCAATAAAGACATTTTAGTATTTAGGGTGTATTCTTTTAATAATAATATATTAAAACATTTAATATTTTTTAGTTGGTAATTTATAAATATCTATTTTTTTAAAAAAAAAATTACTAACAATTGATCAAGAAGTTATGAATTTTACATTTTTCTAGATAAATTAATCATATAGATGAACATATTATTATTTGTTAGCATCATAAACCAATGTAGATTGTAAAATAAATAATACAAATTAAAAAGTTCTAAATTAAAATTGTAGATTGTGAATCCTCTATCTCCAAAAAGCTCCTCTAATGAGCTTTTTCTAAATTAGAGTTTTGGGCCTAAAAAGTTTATCAAATAAGCTATTTACCAAACAAGCTCAATAGCGGATTTGACGGGTCAAACCTCTCAATTAAGTCCAATCCGCTAATTTATCCTCAATCCGCTATCTTCCAAACGGGGCCAAAATATTTTTTGACGGAAAATTAATACTAATGACATGCGGGCACTCGCTGCATGCCTTTGGTTCGGTATTTCAATTCTCAATGTTCAATGGCAATTAGATGACATTTATCCGAAATTAAAAATAAAATAAAATTGGGGAGGCACAAACACATATAGCGTGCGTTCCGGTGAGCGTGAGTCGCGTTTGCGGAGGCACGATGAGCAGACGCCAGTAGCGGACTCGTCTAGGTGGCTGCAGCAGAGGGAGGTGAAGAGAGGTTGGCGAATCTAAGATTTGGAGCGATTTCTGCCTTGCACGACTGCCACACGTGGCGACAAATATAGGCAAGGGCGGAGCCACATGTATGAATGCCTGGGCTGTAGCCCGGGGGCTCTCTGCACCATTAATATAGTATATATTGTTTTATTTGGTTAAATTAGCCCGCTAGAGTAATTGATGACTTTATAGTATATATTGCTAGTTTTTTTTATTTAAACGTGGTTAGTGGTTTATGTACTTGTTAGAG